GCACAGACATTTATGGAGCGCCGGTCGAGCGTCCGCTGTTCCCCTCCCTCGAGTTTAACAAGAATGGAATCCAACCACGCTTGCCTGCCAACAGCAAATCGGCGTGATCTGCAAATTTTGTTGCGAAGGCTTCGGACTGAAAACAGCTGATTCCCACGTCACACGAAGGGAGTCGAGCGCGTGTGCTCTGAGGGCAGACTGCAAAGTTACGTTTGCCAAGAACACAGGGACGGAGGGCTCAGACGTCAGTTACTGGAGAACACGGGTCTCCATAGAAGCAGGATCCGCTGACAGTCGATATGAAGAGGAAGGGAGCTCACGGAGACTGTAAGGGTGGAAGAGAACGAGGGTAGCATTCTGGGAAAGAAGTAGGACAGACACGCGTCTGAACAACACGCACACAACAGATTGGGCGGCTCGCCATGCACAGTACCCTGAAAATAACATCGAGTGCTTTCGTCTCTTCAGGGGTTCCTTTCACATTTCTCCGAACCAATATTCACTGATCACCCTGACAGCGTCGTTAAGTGTGGATGCCGCGCGTCAGAACACACAGCCACCCGCCTCATCAGCGCGCTGTAAAAAATTGCCCTGCCAGTGACGCCTTTCTTCTGCTGCTGCCTCTACATGTTTCCGTGGGAAGTCACATCAAATCATCCACCTCCTAGAAAACCAGTACAAAGACTGCTCTCGAGACGAGGGACACCACAGCACAGGGCTTCGTCAGAAATATTTGTGCTCCCATAAACAGTGTGAGATGACGCCTGAAAGCCCGAATCATGTAGCCACAGTACACGTTCATTCCCAGGCAACGACTCGGTAAACAGGTTCCCGCTGCAACGAATACGTAAGCAACAACCGAAGTACTGTTGAGCTACAACGATGGAAAAGGTGTTTTCTGTTTGGTCCGCCCCGAGGCTATATAATGACGATCCCAGGTCAGCGGAAAGAAAAAGTGAGTGAGTGTCTTGAGACGGCAGTCGAAGATGGTTGAGAAGAGGCTGCAACTGAGAGTTAGCTGAGTTGCAAAAGTGCGGCTGTGAAAAGAAGACTTCATGCCTGCTGCAGTTACAGTGAGACTGTGCTGAAAACCGTTGCCAAGATACGACTAGTGAAGACTTGAGAACCCTAGTGTGTGTAACGGTGAACTGTAAAGTGTGTGGATCAGCGACAGGGCTGCATTACCTGTAGTTATGAGTTGATTGTATAAGTGCAATGAATCCAATCATCCAATCCAAAACCCCGTCTAATAGTCACACATCCAAACACGTGACAATATTTAGCGAGGCAGACACGCATCTAGGTCTTCATGTAGGGTTCGTTATTACTGACCATTTTAACCAAGGCCTCATTTTTGGAAACTTCCCAAATTTAAATTTCAATAAAATGCATTCTGCGTATCCCACTTAGAGGAGAATGGGCAGACATGGAGAAATCAAAAGGCAGGCGCCTTCCTGCCTCGTTGCGAACGCGCAAGGATATTCCACCCCACTATTTAGTCTCGCGAACAGACAGACGCCCGTTTCACGATTCAATTAAGTGGAATTTGGAAGACAGAAGTTACGTGCAATACAGACCAAAGTCCCAGGAGCTTCTCCGCGATTACCGTCTACCTCCCCAGAAATCTCTGCGGGATCTTTTAACGCTTTCAATCAACTGATGAGGGCTCTCCGAAACCACACGAAAACTTCTTTCTCGCGAGAATTCCTAAGCGCCGAGACGGATAAACGAATTAAATTGGAGAGGGAAGCAGGAAGCGATGGGAAGGGCCAGGTTATGAAACTTTCCTCATTTTCGCAACTCGCATCTCCCTGGAAATTTAAAAACTGTTGCCACCCGGTCGAGTTTACCGCCATTAAACTTGTTACACCGCAACTGCGGCGGTGGGAGGGGGGAAGGGGGTTCGCGCCTTCCTCTCGGTTTATTTAACGACACCTCCAATAGCTCACACTAACAGGGTTCAATGTAGAACCCGGAAGGGCCGCAGTGGCGTACGTTATGACGGCGTCAGGATGGCCTGTCTGCCGCACAGCCGCACCTGGGTTGGAGATTACCTAATGGGCACAACAAAACGCGTTTCATTACCTGCCGAATGAAGAAAGCAGCAACAGTAGAACTTGACGTTGCACAATGTCCGTCACCTTCGCCACTAGCCGCTGGACTCCGTAACATATGGACATCCCCGGGGGTTCACATCGGGACATGACCATTGTTCCTACAGAACTGAGTTTGTTTCAGCAGAGACTTGTGCGGAGCATTACCGAACGGCATGTGAATGTACGGCCCTCACATTACTTCGTGCACGCGAAACATCTGAACTCAGTTCCCTACATTACAATGACATTCTGTTAAAGCAACAACCGCTGTTTATTATGAGGCCATATGAAACACATAAAACCAATGTACGACAAGAACGAACATTTTTTTTAAATATTAAAGCTGGTGGTACATACAGTTACCACTGTGATGCATGTGCTTCCTGGAACAGCAATAAAGCACTCGGCTGACACGAGCAGCCACCTGCAGGCCGCTTCGTGGAAACAGCAGCGCTTCAAAATGCCTTGCTCTGTGAGGGGTGAAGGCACCCCACAGGCTGCAAACCGCTGCCGCAAGGCTTCCACATGCAGAGGAAGAAAGTAAACAGATGCTTTGACGCATCATGAATATTGCTTGGGGCAGCCACCATGCGGTACATCCGCTCAGCACGACAGCTCTTGGAAATCCCTTCCCTTCCATTTATATAACATTTACAAATTCAGTTCCTGCCGCACACAAAACAAACTCCGACTCCATTAAAACAATAAGTTCTGGGAAGAACTCATCGCCGACTTGCCTTGATACCACACGGACAGCGACGCGTCCAACAATTCTTCTATTATTGCGTTATGTATTCGTTGCGGCGGTAAAGTTTTAGCCGACCTGTTGCCTAGCAACGATAGGGGGATACACATACAGACACGCAGGCTGATGGAAAGGATTTGTGAAGGACGCCGTTGAGACGGGCGGCTGGAAGGATTTGGTCAATTAAAAAAATGCATTGACCTCGTCGGAATCGAGCCCGCGACCTTCCGGCTTGTAGTACAGAGCCTCAACCAACGACACTAGCGCGTGCCCCTTCGTCAGAACTGGGAAATCTGATTTCGTATGCGAGTCGAATACAGCTGCGGCCCGCGGAAGATGAATTTCAATGCAGGAATTCAGCACAGAGATGGGGAGCAACGCTTCGCCGTGGCACTGAGGGCGGCGAACTCCGGCACCACAGGGACTAATAAAGCGAGACCGGCTTGCGTATGTGGCACAATTCAGGTACTATCCTGAAAATTAGGAGGTGCTGAGTAAAACCGCGAACTCAGACCAGCCTAGCGCTTTCCTTTATCGCTATGCCACCCGATCCAATAGTCAGCAAACCAATAGTTCCCTGACTGCATCGCCTTAAGGCTAACACAAGCGTTTTCTGGCGTTACGTCGTGTAGTCTGGTAGACTTTCGGAGGAACGTGCTGCATTGACCTGCAGGACAGAAGAGTGGTAGGGACATAGGGACTGGCGCCTCGAGCAAGGAGACCCTCTGATGACTACTGACCCCTTACAAGGGCAACTCCTGAGACAACGAAGAGGAGATGCAGAGGGGTACCTCGAAGGGCCCTCTTTTGTTCAGCGTACAATTTTCATGATTGCGACGCCGTTCAATCTAGTAGTTACGTAGTAATGTTCAGGATGAACCCGTCGCTTACCCTGAAGAAGGAGGCACCAGGTTCCTCCAAAACGTTGGCAAATTAGCGTCACATGTGCAGAGTTTTCCAGCTGCTCCAACTTACACCCCAGGTAACAAGAATGTCAGCCCGAAAATTTGCCCCTGCGAGCTAAACGCACAAACATTACGAGGGCTGGCCCGCAATGCAATCAGACAGCCGACAGACCGTGTAATTGGCTTCGTGGCGCAACCCAAACAAACTGCAAGCGACACCTGTACACGCGGGCGCCCTAATGGCTATAATTAATAAGAGGTGCACAGGCCGCTCCCGGAGAACCGATAAAGCCCACTTTACTGCTGAACAGATTAATTTATACAGCTGGTTGTTGTAACGGCAACTATCTAGACTCGTACTCGGTTCGAAACTCGGCAGGGCTTTCATCGTTGTCCTCAGTCCCTCCACGCTAATGCTACAACAGNTTCGCATTTTCCTATTGCTCTTGTTATTACCAATATAATTTGCTTTATTATTATTATTATTATTATTAGTAGTAGTAGTAGTAGTAAGAAGTCTGAGCATCAGCAGTGTTTATTCTGCTCTCAGGAACGACTCAGTTACTGGCGCAAATTTGAAGATGGCGGACGCAAGGATTTCGAGTGGCGGACAGCAGAAGTTTACAGAAATCGCCGATAAATCTCATTCGAAATGCGTTTAAAAGGTTGGATTCATCTGGGGCAAGGATCGCCAAACGCAGGTCCGCAGGCACCCTGATGCCCATGGAACGGTTTTTGGGTGGCCGCCAGGATTTTGAAATAGGACTTATAATAAAGAAGAGTACGGCCATCTGCGTTGTAACACCGTGTAGTTATAGGACATCCCGAAGTTTCGGAGGAACATATTGCCCCCATCTTCACGGTCGAAGAATAAGACAACCAAAAAGAAACTCGCAGAAGCAGGAGACAGATCAGCTGGACCTATTTAGATCCAGAAACCTAAACACGCTGTTCGGCAATGTTAAAGCAAGTGGTACATAAAGTTACCGATGTGCTTTGAAAATGTAATATCCCACACTTCAATTGCCCCCCCCCGAACCCGTAACGCAAAGGCAATGCGCGTACATAATCGATCTTTGTCGTCATTACGTCAGTTGAGACCGGCTCCTTACTGCTTTAATGTGTGCTGAAAAACGTGATGAGATGGATTTCTTTAAATCTCCCTACTCTAACCCCCACCACGGATAAGGAGGGTGGAGGGGAACCTGCCCGTATATCCCAGGGATGCTGCGACTGGACCAGTCCTCGGCCGACCGCGCGCAAGGCAGGCAGCAGGGTGCAACATGGATGTCACGACACAACTCGCAGTTCTGTTCCGCGCGACGCAACACACACAGCACAGCGCCCGCCACTTGCCGTAATTAGTCCTCATTAGCAGGAGACCGGTTTACAAGCAACAAATCACTGGATCTAGATTTTAAAAAGTTTCAAAAACAAATTATTCAGAACAGAAATAACAATTCTTCAAGACACCCTCGAATACCTCATCATATTAATTCAAGAAAACTCGTAGTTCCTCCTTGTCATTTTGCTCAAGGCACGCAAACAAACACCTCGTGACTTAACGCCATAATCAGAACCTCTAACACCATTTCAAGCAAGTCCATTCACTACAACTAACAAATAAAATGCTAAACGCGACGTTCCTGTAAACACAGTTTAGACATGTGGCCGCAAGTTCCGTGAACCTGCCACCACACCAGGCCACTCTTACCTACGGCCCATCATGTGACGTCAGACTGGAATCACCGCATTCTCACCTCTACGAAGAGTTGCAAGTCGCATTTTCTGGCCGCAGACAAACTCAACCGGCAAGCTGGCTGCAGGTAAGCTCTTCGTACGCATCCTAGCTTGAAGGGACTGCCGTTTCCGCACGAATCTCACAATAAATAGCGAGCATTGCCGCTTAACAGTATCACGTGGTGTTCCCTGTTAGGTACGAACTGAATCTTATTTATTCTCTGCACATGAACAGGCTTCAGGAGGTCCCAAGTGGCAGTGGCCTTACTTTAATCGTACTTTAAATTGGCACATGTCACATGGGTAAGGAAGGCAGCAAACAGTTCAACTGATTCAGTAATTTTCCCTTCTCTTGTGGAAACCTAAGGTTCAATACCGTGTTCACGAGAGCCACACTGGTCCCTATCCTGAGACATATCAGTCCAATCCATACCATCCCAACCTATCACTCTAAGATGCATTTTAATATTGTCGACACACCTACGTCTTGATCTTCCTAGTGGTCTCTTTCCTTCCGGCTTTCCCACCTATATCCTACATGCATTCCGCTTCTCCCCATTCGTGCTACATGCACAGAGTGCGAGAAGAAGAAATCTACATTCGAGATCTCGCAGCCAACTCTGGCCTGCGTACTGAATGTATAAGAGTGGTTACTTGAAATATCCTACATTCATAGGCTGGATTGTGGTATCACATTCCGACAGAAATGCCACTCCTGGCAAAACAATGTTCATGTTGGGTTTGGGGTTCTCACAGCTAAACAGTACTACCTTCTGTGACACCGTGCAGCCTGTACCAACCTTTCGAATAAGAAAACTGCCTCGTATTCAAAACATGGCGACATAATCAAGAACACAACAGACTACGAGTTTAGGCCCGTACAGTTAAATAAGAGGATACTCTTTTTCTCTCCGCGGGTAACTAAGCAACTCCATGGAGCAAAGCCGTCCATAAGAAGCCAACAGTCGCTCAGCGACTAAAGAAAATCCCAGACTTCACGGAGCTAAACGTTCATTATCGTGTTCAAAATAGCGTATCCTGATCCAGGTGAGTCCTGTGCACATCCTGACTGCAGTTTAATATTATCCTCCCTTCTACGACGTCTCCCAAGTGGTTTCTTCCTTTCGGGTTTCCTGGCCAAAACTTTGTATACATTTCTCATCTAGGGACATTGGAGCAGTTTTAGGTGTAACCGTTTAAACCACACTGATAACTATATTCACCGCCATGTTCGAAATCTCTGCACCTTTCTCACAAGTACATTTGTGTTTCGTACGATTTTCAGAATAAACAGCGATTATTTCCGTAAGCACAGAATAAGCCGGTTGCTCCTTGTAATGGAAATGCAGTGTTTCCTGTGAGATACGAACTGGTATATATTGCTTAGACGAGGTTCAGGTTCCAGAGGGTTAGACCAAATTATCATGTACGTCATTGAGAACAACGGCCATTTATGTCCATGTCACGAAACACAACAGCTGGAGTAATTAATATCAATGTGCCACGTCACGGCTTCCTCAAGTTGTGCATGTTCACTAGCCTTCAGCCGGGCGCGCAGATCGGCAGAACATCCGTCTCACCTTCACACAAACTTCCGCTGCAATCGCCTGCAGAAGCGCCCTCCCGACACACCATCCGCTTTAGCCTTAAACCCTTCTTTCTTCCGCACAGTGCACCTGAGGACTTGGAATGATCCTCAGAGTAGACGCAGGTTATCTCCCCAAATAGCATCAACTGCACTTCTAAAAATGTTGACAGACTGAAGTCTTCAAAGGCTTAACGATAAGGCCACCAACAGCGGTTCATAATCCCACTAACCCTCACATGGATATACCAGCTTAGTGCTCTGAGGCGGTGTCTACTGCGTATGCGCACGCCGTGTACGACAGCGAACATCAGAATGGCCTCAGCCACGCCACGGGCTTACAGCTCTAAGGTACAGCCCAGAAAGAAACATGACGGGAGTAACGGCTTTGTGTGCCAGCGGGTGTCCTGCAGCTCTGCTACTTCGGGCTCGATGGATGGCGGCAAGAGTCATCGCCGTATCCCTACCATAACGGAAAGAAAGCGGGCGAGGGAGTGCTGGTTCACGCTGCACAGCGAAACTTACCCGGAAAACTCGAGAACATAAAACAGCGTTAAATCCAACTCCGTGGAGCATAGTCGTTCAGAAGCTAGCAGTCACTCACGTACTCAAGAAATTACCTTCCAAGAGGCTCTAACTCCTAGGTTACTTCCGATTTCTAATCCATGCCATGCGTGCTAAATCCCCTGCCTACCTCAGCCACCTTGATGCAGCAATAAGAGTGCAGTTATTTCCCGAGCATCAAGCAGAGGGAACGCTGAATTTCACAGCAATGCTATAGCCACTCATAACGAAAAACTCGGGGGAAGAAACCTGCGAGTTCAACTCTAGAAGCGCGAATTTCGTCAACACAATTGTCAAAATTCAGCTCGTACCTTAGGAAACACATTACGTCTCCGCTACAAAGCCCAACCGGTTAATGCTGTTTAGGGAAACAGTCGCTGTTTATTGTGAGAACCGTACGGAACACACAGATAATATAGAGATTCAGTCCGTACCTCACAGGAAACACATTACGTCTCCGCTACAAAGCCCAACCGGTTAATGCTGTTTAGGGAAACAGTCCCTGTTTGTTGTGAGAATCATACGGAACACACAGATGCACTGCGTGGGCAGAATATAGAGCTCTCTAAATTAAATGAGCACTATATATAACCAACCACTGTGCTCTAAAGAGACACACAGAAAATCGAGCAAATAAACAGAAACAACCGGTACATACCACACGTGTACACAAGCACCGCCTCTCACGCGGGGTTGCGGTGGCGGAGCCTGGGGAGGGGTACAACTCAACCCAAATGAATTATGAAATTAAGCTCGCTTGGGAGAGGAGAGGGCTGCTCGGCTGAGTCCTGCAGAAATCAAAGGCCAATGCAGTCTATCATCGGGTGGTACGTGTAAAGGGAACATTTGTTACGGGGTGCAGGTTGCACGGTGCGTGAAAAGCACGGCAGCTATCCATTCGGGAAGACCAGCGCTCTAATCTCGACCTGGAGACTGGGTCGCTCACGCCCACACTTCCAGTTAATCTTATCATCATGCCCTCCGGTCTGAGCTGCTGGCAGACGCGTGGCATGAACCGCGAACTCCCAAGTGCGGGGAACAGACTCACGGGCTACAGAGCGCTATAACTTCATAAGCACTGGTATGAAAACCTCAGGTCGCGGCCTATCCTATGGGAACGCGGGAACGCATGTTGCACTATCGCTTCCTGTGAGTGCAGACAAGCCCACACAGCGCAGCGTAGGCTCTCACAATCAAGAAGCAGCACTTCCCTCACGACGGAGAGGCACATAAACATAAGCAGGGCCCGGTAACAGTTCTTCAGACACGTTGGTACGTATGCTCGTCACAGTCACTGCTGTGAGAACCTCGGACCCCAACTCATTTCTTCCAGTTTTCTTAGCGACGCGTTCGGTAGCTCAGACTACACAGTACCGAGCAGAGCAGCACTTACAAGTGGGATACGAAAGAAAATGGATGCAGCCAAATTCAAGGAAACGTCCCCGCAGTTGCCTTGAGGGACTGAGGAAGGCCACGAAGAAATGGTCAGGATAGCCGACCTACGGCCGAGATTTGAACCCTGGATCTCCCGAATATGAAACTCGAGAGATGGAGGAACTGAACAAACAGCGATATCATGGAATATGTGAACTCGCAGGGACATGCGCACTCGCGCAAAGGGCTGCACTCAAGACGCCTTTCATCAAAACAAAAGCCGACATACAATGACGGTAAGGCAGGCTACTGCTTGCCACAAAGGCATGTATATACAGACATGCATTTAGACCACTGGAATGGGAAGACAGAACCTCCGGTTTCACGGAACCTGGAACCTGCGTGCGTAATTAGTGAATAGAAAACGCTTCCGCTAAAATTCCTCAGTTCACCTCATATTCAGTCACTTTATAAACCGAGCCGTTGCAGTTATATAACACAGAAAATACCTGACATTGTCGCGGCAGTGACGATAGTGATACGCCGTGTAGTCTGGTACATAGGATTCCGGTCCTGTCCGTCCCTATACCCGCACTACCCTCCAGCACTCGGCTCACTCTTCTACCCTGAAGATGGACATAGCTGGCTTCTCCGCAACATTTGTAACGACCTGCCAGGCTATACGGTGTCAGAGGTCACGTGACAGGAACCTTTGGACTCATGTACGTTTATTTAGAATATGACATGACGGACCAGACGCGAGTAGACTGGATGCTTGCTTCTCATTCCCCGTGCATGGCACGTCCCGCCCATCATGCTCTTGAGCATCGTTATAAAGCTCGTCACTGTGTAATTTTCTCCACATTCTCCTCGGCACTCCCTTCTCAAACTCTTACCTTAATTCGAGAGGCACAGTTTCACACCCATGCAAAAGAAGCAACATATAGCAGACGGCAAGACAAAAGAGTGTGACGCGAATTACTGCAAGCACTCGCAGAATGAGAACTGATAACTTTCTTGCGTCCAGAATACCACTGCCACTCGCTCCAACATTCGCACCCTTCAAGCCTAGAGCTGACGCACACAACACTTAAACATCCAGTTCCTACCGCACAGGAAACACACGGCGTCTCCTCGGTCGATAATATCGTTGCTTATTGTGAGAATTATACGAAGCACATCAATAGCCTCTGTGGGCAAACGTGGAGTTCTACAGTTAAGGCAGCTGGTACGTATAGTAACCACTGTGAGGGTGCATAATTGGAGGCGTTAAGCACTACGCCACGTGTCTGTCCGTCCCTCACATAGCAGAACGTGGCTGACGACGCGCCTCGTGGAGGTACACAGATGCGTCCAGCCGTCAGCCAACTACATAATCATGTAACTGAGCCATATCATTGCTTCATTTCCGCTTCTAGTTACCTCTGTTTGGTTAATATGCTTCGTGCAATCCCTAAGTTCCCGTTTCCGGTTCAGTTACATTGCGCATACAAATATAATTAAGGGCCTGTAATATGAGAACAGCAGGAGCTTGCAAACTGTGCGCGTGCGCAGAAAGTCCGT